ATTGTCAAAGACACGTGCGCCCACAAAGTAATTCAAGTTTTAGTCAAAACAAAGATTTTCCGCCGCTGTGAACTCCAATCCACTATTTCCTTTTTATCTTGTGTTCATGGCGGCTTGCCCAGTATGGACCAACTAATTCAACGTAATCCTGTTAAACGCTCCTCCAGCCATAGATCCTGTGTTGAGTTGCTTTAAGTTGGTCATGCATGACGGTTGACCGAATGTAACGCAACAAAACTATGGCGGCATTCAAAACAATGAACTAACTAGTCCGCTGGTCAAATATGACGACCCACTAAAAAAGCTTGCCATCTAATCCGTTAATAGACACTGAATAGATTCCCCGTGGGGAAGTATTCAAGTGGGTCGGCCATATTTGACCCTCGGACTAGTTAGTCCACTGTTGTGAATGCAAACTAACATATTTCAAAGTTGGTAGTGCATGGCCTTTGAAAGAATGTAACGCTACGAAACTAACATATTTCATTTTTATTTGATATTATTGCAAAAACAAGGGCTAGTAGTCATTTTAATCTTATCAAAATTGAATTATAATTGAATTAAAGTGACATTAATTTATGAAATAAATTTTTCTTTATTTAAAAAACTGGCAAAATTGAAAAGAAGAAATTGTCTTTTCACCAGAGTTTAGGCTGAGGCAGACATATTCTAGTGATGTTAAGGACATTAGTATGAAACCATTATATATAATTTACGTTAGTTCCAACACGTTTCATTGAACTGTATCAAAGGCAAATTTATCTTCCATAAATCATCTCAGCAATACAAAGTAATTGATATCAGAAAAATGTATGAATAATACAAATATACATTTACTAATGTCGTGTGACTGCATTTGTAATACTTAATAATACAATTCATTCACTGTGAAGTGATATTCGTCCATAACAGATATATCATAATTAATGCATTGTAGTTTTAGGATTGTCGTCATTGTTAGGACATAATTTTCTTGAGGACAAAGGAGCACCGATCAATCATCACGTTTGGGAACATCAATTATCAATGCTTGCGCTTGTTCTTCAACAACCCCCTGGTTCGAATTGTGTGAGGTTAAGGTATACTACATTATTTATATAGATAAGTGTAATGTTTTGATTGATGTATCTGTTTTGATATAGACATCCTTTTACTGGTCTATACTAGGCAATCTACTTATTGTGATTACGTCAGAATCGTGCCACTCTGTACATAACCGAGAAGAATAATCCAGAAAAAACGAAGGTTCCCGAATACAAACGGAAATGACCGACGAAAGTTGAAGCTGATAACATGGTGAGTGCTTATGAAAGCATTCGTCTTAATTCAGGAAATTAAGATCGATGCAAACAATTAGCGTCGAGTATTGGCAACAGGTCCTGAGTTAAGCTACATTGGGACGCATCACTGAGAATGGATTGGTGATCGAAACCAACGCGGTGCAAAACACCAAATCAAACACTTACTCCACCAAATAAGTTTGCGACTTTCTCTGGATAAAGAACTTAATTTTGTAATATTCGTCTACTAACAAAAGCATCGTTTTAAAACCAGAAAATTAATACAGTAAATGTAATTTGCCTTTATATCTTACAAAGCACTCCGTATCGTAACATCGTCTAAGTCAAGACACCTGTAATAGCATCTAAGCCATATACAACTTCAGTCGAATTGTGTAACAGAGCATTTAAAATGCTTTTCTAACAAGTTTCCTCACGTTACGTTGTTCGGGGGCAATTTATTTTACCTGGTATCATAAGCGGCAGAGCTGTAACTCACGCCCACTATTATTATTATGCAACGTTCATGTGCCTAAACAGAGACCAGCTGAAGTTTGGTACACACTCTCAACAACTGATATGGTGCTCAGATGCAATTTCGAATTAATTCAATTTCACATTGTACATTTTAATCTAATTCATAAAATGCCTATCAATGCGATATGTAGTGTTCATGGTATTAACGTATTGTATATAGCGTGTTTAGCCTTTGGGGGAATTGAATACTTTCCATAGACGTTTCATCATGCACTTGTCAAAGCAGACCTGACTTATACCTTTCACGTCACTTAAATTCACTAAATATATTAAGGCAAATAGCTGCCATATATCTTGTCAACTTTTTTTTCAGTTTTTACAATTTTCAAGACCTGGCACAATACACAAGTTTAAATAAATACTTTAAAACTGTGCCTTGTCTTTATTTAAAACTGTAGTTATGAATCCCCACTTTTTGCGACTATTGTTCAGGTTGAAAGCTAATTGATCCTAATATCTGTACATGACGAGACCGTTTTTCAAAGAACAGAGGAAATGATTGTCATCAGGATTGTCCCGTGTAATACAGCGCAGGAATATATTCGATCACATCAGGCCTACAGTATCATCTCCTCGGATGTTGTCATTCAGCGCGCACGAAAGAATGACTTGGCAATTAGCAAAGAAGCTGCTTTGTCAGATAAGAAGGTTCTTGAAACGACTGCACGATGAAGTTACGACCGCATGACGAAGGACTCATAAATGGGTTTTCAAGAAAGAGGTGATTTGATACATATTTTACTGTTAATGAAAGTTGACATTAATCCTCAAGGAATTCTAGGTAATTCCAGGAAACACCTCAACATTTTCTAACAATTAAGTTCTTACCGGTAATAAACCATAATGTTAACATACATGTACTACACAACACAATGGCATTTGTTAGACAAACGCTCAAGATACTCTTCCAAAATGCAGTGCACCCGATGTATTTGGATCATCTGTGTGATAGTCCACGAAGTTCACAACTTAAACTTTCATAGAATTCCAGATGCGTGGGTTTGGCTACGAGAGAGAAAGAGAGAGAGAGAGAGAGAGAGATCCTTACATTATATGTGAACCTCTTACCTAATAGCATCCAAAACTGTAATTGCTCTAGTAGAGAAGGATATATCCCAGATATTTCGTCGTATGGCTCTATATGTCAGGGAGATCCTATATATCTGATGGACCGCAGTGCAGCCTATATGTACGCTGTTGAGCGCAGTAGTTCTTGTCCCGGACCATTCATCTTGTTGACAGTGAGAGAAAATCATCAATATTAAGGTGAGAAATGGCGGGCTAAAGGTGAGAAAAGCGTCTCATTTCCTCTTGATCTGGGCGCCTGCACGACGCAAGGGGTGTCCAACGAAGATTGAAGAGATATGATAATATTCAGCTTTCAAAACAGACGTTCAGATTTGCTAAGAATGTCCACAAAAATGTTCAAACAAACTAGAACTACAGCAAATTCATGGCTCTGTCGAATTTGATTATGGCACAATCTTCACCCCATGCATTCAGCCAGACCATTGGGAAGCAATGGCAACTGGTACAGCAGTCAAATGGAGCTGAATCACCACCCATAACATATGTATATAGTAGTAAATGTAAACATCAGATACCAACAAATTGTCCTCTTGTCTGACAATAATCATCCCTAGATACCTATTGATATAGCCTAATGAAAGACGAGGCAACTGTACAATTGAACTCGACAGCCCGCATTAGGCTGCTATTCAGTAGATGTAATGGCCAGTTAAGAACATAAATGACAAACCCTTAAAGAAGACAGTCAGAACGGACATCTCTCTGGGAACCCCATTGAATGGATGAAATAAAGGTTTTATCAACACCACAACAATGAACACAAAGAGCTAAGCTTTAAAATGTATCTAGAATGGACAACCCCGTCGGTCATCTTTACCATGACCGTGTCTGCATTGTTAGGCCTTCTCTTCTTAGAATGCGATTGGAGACGCCATTGTCTTCAGGATTTGTGTGACCCAGGGGCGACAGATTCCTACGTGTATAGTAGTTACCCAATAATCAAGCCAATGAGGTACCACATCCCCACGACAAAAATATTTGCCCCATGTTTCCTCCATCTGTCGTTTCTCTTTCAACGCTAAATAAGTTATCGTAATAATGCATCTATGAAGACCTGTTTAAAAGATGTAAAGTTTACTAATCTTCATAGAGGTATCATTTTGACAACTTATTTATTTCTTAAAGATCTATACTGTGATTTGATATGAAACATTTTTTACACTAAAAAAGCAAATCCACAATGTTTTACTCGATTTTCCAATCTAATACTTCTTTTCTCTGCAACGAGATAATTTCTGGTTGCATGTATTTCATATATATTTAAATACCTTCATAAACACAAGGGTTCTCATTATAAACCGCTATAAACATATATAAACGATGGGTGCATAGCATATGGCTATTTCTGCTCGTTTACTCATTTTAGAACGATACTTGTTACAAAATCGATGTTTTGACATGCACTGTCGTCATCATCCATATCCACTAACATAAGTTTATAGCATGCACCGCATAATGAGATTACTTCGAAGATTACGTTCAATACATTGATACTTAAATTGCCCCTATCCGTAGCGGAACAATCTATTCCATTTAACTTCGAACATTAATTATTCCATCCCAAGAAACATATCAGGGGTCAAATACAAAGCTCTGTGGAGGCCATAAACAATCAGATGATTATATTTTCTTATATCGTACTTTTTGTAATTTTGCTACCAAGAAGCCATCATTTCCCTCGCAAGTTTGGAGTAATTAGGGTATAGTTAGATTAAAAAACATGTATGCGTGCATTACCACCCTCAGATGGCCAAATTGTCTGAAGATTGTATGTTGATTTCGTTGCTATAGGAAATAATGCATCACAGTGTCTATGTTATAAATTGTCAATTGTTGAGGACGGTTGCAAGTCACGTACGTGATACATCTATATTTCTGCGTACTTAGAGCACCACAAAACTGTTCCAGCTAAGATAACATGGTAAAAAAACTCACTGGACTGTCACCGTAACCAGTCCCTATAATCCCGCTAACAGGATATATCGATACTTACACTTAAACCGTTTCGCTCATTTGTAAATACACCATGTACTACTACGTGATATTATAACATACTACACGGTGAAAATCAAAATGACAAAAAAGGATGCTTACCGAACATACAAATTGGTAACAGGAATCAAACATACGTAAATGGCCGTCCCATTTAGCTGCTTAATACTAAATTCAGAGTCATCCATCACGTATTCAAAACAAATCATCTATTTCAATTATTGGATCGTTTACATAATGTGGTCGACGTGTGGTGCGTTGTCCTTGTGACCTAAATTAAATATAAGTATGCAGAAGGCGTAATCCAATAAACCACAAAGTGATTTAACGGATCCGTGATTATATCATTATTGGAGCTAATATCCTGTGTAATTAGCACGGTGATGATGTATTCATACCATTATTGTAGGGATTCAATGATTAGTCACGAAAAGAGACAATTGTATCTGGTTGCGCGGCTTTCATTTAGGACACCAATTATACTTGAGTCGCTTCGGTTTTTTAAAGTAAGCATAAAGTGACATATGCTGTCAAAAGTGTTTCCAGATAATAAGCTCCACGAATTTGATTGCTTCAATGTAAATTGAATCTAGAGTTTAATAAAGTACATTACATCTTATCTAAATGTTTCATTTTGCTTCTAAAAATTGATGCTGAAATTAGGTAAAGAAGTGCAATACCAGAATAATAAATTCGGTTGTGACCATTTGACAAAATAAACGAAAACGTCTGTATTAATATATTCACAAAATTAATAAACCAACCAACGAACTAAGACGGCTAGAAGCATTAAGAAGATAAACGAAGAGCAATTTGTTACGAACATATGGTTTCTTGATACATGGGGCACATTAACATAAGTGTACTGTTTTGTGAGCTGGGATCCCTGATGAGATAACGGACAAGCTAGGGAATCTAAATATCAAAGAACTAGGATGCAAATAAATTTACATGGCTCATTGATGACTTGCAGGCAGCAGGCAACTCTTTCCAAATCGGATTGATCTCGTCTTATCAGTTGGGCGTGTTACAAGAGTTGGTTCCAACAACCGCGGTAAATCTGAATAGCTTCCATTTATGGATTTTTTTACTGCTGAGACCAAGGAAAGTAGAAACAAGACACATCCATTTGCCCCAAGTGAGACAATTTCACGGGTGAACGCCTCTGTGAGGAGAGACGAAGGAAACCCACAAGAAACAGATTCAGACAAAAGATTCAAATGCTAGAGACAGACAGCTTTTATAAGGCCTCTTACGCCAGACTTAAATGTCAGTCATTACTGTAATAGTTTTCGACAATGCAGACAGCTATTTTTCTTTCTGTTGGTTTCTGTTGGGTTGCCTCTCGGATGCTTTTCATCTTACCCTTATTTGCAGATTCTAACTTTCTCATAATTCACATATTGATGTTCGTGCCCGGGTTTTGATGGTGAAACTGATTCCCAAGAGCTGTCTGCACAATGTTCCTTTGGAAGAAGCTGTAATGAATACTTTGATTTCTGCGACATTCTGCTGTAACTCCTTGACAGTTGCCATGATGGAATTCGCGCGGCGCACTGCAGCACGTACGTAATAGGAGCAGGAAACCAGACAAAATGTCCCCAAAGGAATATATGAAACCGTAAGAAAGATCTGCTTTTTCGGTCAATTATTCCTCTTTATAAAGGCTATTAATCTCTTAATATCACATCAGCGACGACCCGACCAGTTAAGTCGATTTAATTCTGTAACGTCTAATGGTTGATCATCTATAGGAAGCAAATGCGCTGTGATATGTTTAAAGGTAAAGAAGGCGGGCAGACGGCTAGGCGGAATGTTGCACTTGATTAGAATATATAAGCTCTCGTTCTCTATTATTCTACCTTCGAGCGAATATCAAATTAACAAACACGTTTATTCTTATTATTTTCTATGTTATGCTTTTGAAGTTTCGCTTATTTTGATGTACGAGTATAATTCTTACCAGCTCCGCCAAAATTGCCCTTCCCAGGAGAACTCGTATGTCGATTTTTTTTTCAAATAAACCGATTAAGCTATATAAAACATGACATATCTAAATTACAAATCAGAGATCAATGACAGACCTGTTCTATTATGAAACAAACTATTAATCCATTCAACAAGAAAGAGCAAGATTTTACTGACTCATGTTGCAATTTCGTGGTGCTGCATAAAACAAGATATGATTGAAGTGAACGATAATCGGTATACTGGAATCACGCTGCATATGGAAGATCGAGGTCCGCGGAAACATGAGAAATATGATACTCCTTCAAAGATTTTATTTTAAAAATTGCGTAAGCAACATATAGATGTACAGATTCTATAGCTTCACTGGGACCATTTTTTATGAATGTCGCAGACAAAGTTGGCATTATGTTCATGCATAACAGTTGGTCGTACTCGTTAAGAAAGTTAATACTGCAGTTTTCAAGACGAGGACATGTTGTTAATACACACACAAACACACACTCCATCACTCACTTATTCCGCACATCATTTTGCAAGATGCGCTAAACCGGCACATTTTTTATAATCATTTTTAAAAAGATTTTATGTTATGAAGTATTATAAATTCATGCAGATATATTTACAAACAATTACAATATGCTTAGTGACTTAAAAATTTCATATGACAAATGTATATTATTAGTTTGTGTGCGTGCGTGCGTGCGTGCGTGTGTGTGTGTGTGTGCGTGCGTGCGTGTGTGTGTTATGAATACAAGGAGACATCAGCGTAGAACAGCTGTAAATGTTTACTTTACCTCAATCTCAGATTGTAGGTGTGGATCTTCTTTCAGGTCAGATAATTTGGGACATCTGCAAACGAAAAATAAATGTTTAAATATTAGGATATATATATACATCTGCACGACCACGATACTGGGTAACAGCACTGGGTGATCATCTTTGAAAGTCTGTCAAAATATTCCTACGCGTTGGATTACAATGGGGATGCTTTTATGTGAAAGGGTTTTGATTTGTCTTATAAAAACAAACAATTTTGTGTTTCCAAACATTGTTGTGTATTTTAAACTTTGTAATTCTTATTCGAAAATGACACTAAAAAGCTCTTAAATCTGGGACTTTGTACCTATCGAAATGGACCGGTCCAATTAAGTATAGCGCTTGTGTAAAAAGGGCCTGCGCCTGCGCAATTTCGTAACTATTGTAATCTCTGTTAATCCAATAAAGTACTCAGTTGAAACTGAATAAGGCGAATTGTGTCCTATAAGACGTTTTCTCTAGACAAATCCAATTTAAAGAAAGTAAATTGAATATTTCATCATTATAGCTCTTTATTAAGATCCCAATCTTGAATAGATGTTCAAATTTCTTAAAATATCCGAGATCTCAAACAATATCGATTCATCTATAAATAACATCTCAAAAATATTAAGCCTTGCATTAACTTAACAAACACATTTTAATGTCATACAACTTTTTGCTCTCCAACAATATATTTTTAGGATGCAATATACCGTTCATATCCACTAACTTTATACAGTTTTAAACGTCTTCATTTTGATAAATGACAATTTTAACACCAAGCCCCTTTTCATGCAAAAGCAAAGCTTCGGTGAGCCTTTGAACAGAAAGTGGCACATAAATGACATTATCTCTGAAGCGAGAGCCCTGACAGTGCAAGACCAATACATAATTGACAATCTACTCCCTACGGACAAATAAGTATTTTTAGTTTGCGTATTATTTTTTACGGCAAAATTGTTTGAAAGGCATTTTTCGTACCTATGGACTTACTAGTTCGAAATCCGACTTTCAAAACGTACGGTTTGAACAGCGACTGTCGCGCTAGCGGCTCACAGAATCCCAAATCATAAGACCTTTTCAGCAAATTTGCTAAATGAATTTCCCCAAAATATTTACAACTTTTTCATCCCAGAAAACAGACGCGCCTTAATAAGGTTAAGCAAGGGGCCAACTTTTGACCTTGGTTTTCTGCTCATATGCCCTGGTGGGATTATATTAATCGAGCGGATTATTTTGGATTAATGGAAACGGACTCTGATGGTTTACAACGTGATAATTAATGGACACTTTTCTCGATTGGCTGTTCACGAGGGAATACACAGTATCTAATTACTGGGAATGTTTAATCCTGCCAAGGAGTGACTAAAGGATACTTGAATGTACGTGTACCAGCAGTCGTGAAGTGACAGAACAGTGCTACGTGTTTCAATAGGCGTAAAGTGGGTCCTAGAGGAGTCAACAAACGCATTACTGAAATTTGACCACGAGACCCTGGGGCTAGTCCTTGACCTTTGTCGGCAGCAGTTTGGGATTGGAAATAAGTATTGTGTTAATGATGAGAGTCCGAGTTAGAAAGAGTGAGGGAATAAATCATTTTTCATGGATTTTATCAAATAATTAACAACACTTGATTTTTTTTTTTTTTTTTGCTTTTATCTCAACTGGACAAACAGTTTTTGTAAAGGAATATATGTTGCGGTGCGCGTTTGCTTCTGTATTATACTATGTCGAAGATTTTTCGTGACCGGTGTATTTGAGGTAAAGGGATTACCATTGTTGCCAGAAAACCGACATTTAATGTAAATTTCAAAGCCGCAGTGCCAACATATATTCCGTTTCACCTCATTATCCATATGGCACCATTGTCACCTGGCTATCATGAGGAGATTCTTTCAAGCATATATAACATTGTTTTGAGTCATTTTCGTTTTAATCACGGTAATTTTGAAAGTATTTCACATGGTGCCCGAGCGTTTGGTAGAACGTGTAATAGCAACAATGTATCAATACTATACATATATGCATTTGTTATGTATATACCATTACACACAATCAATAACGATTTGATCGGGCTTGGGCGACTCGTTATACACAGGCAAGAACAGATATGTTATCTCCCTTGAATGTTAAGAACCAAACACAATGCGCTCATCAGTACGCGGATGGTCTTTGCTTACTGGAATAATATCTGGCTAAACTGAGTATATAGACAGAGTCGGCGGGGAATCGAAAACCAAGTGTGTACTTGGCAAACAGTCTTTGTAGGGAGGTAGTGATGCCAGTACTCCGTGCAAACACTTGCTTGGTCAATGTTCTATTTAAGTGGGTTTTTGGTGGCAATATTGATAGTCTTCACGGCTTATTTACGGTTTATCCATAACTGTATACG